TCTTTAGGGATTCCAGAGAATGGTTCAAAAAAGAGAAAATATCCAGTGAGAGGCAGTTGTGTGGATGAAAATGCCCTGTTGATCTCACAGGAGAATGGGCAGACTGGTTGCTGTGATATTTAGATGGTAGGGTCAGAATTTGGAGTAAACAACATGAAAGCATGGATCCATCCTACCTATTATTAACGGTGCATGCTGGTGGTGTAATGGTGTGGGTGAGATTTTCTTGGCACTAGCAAGGTGTACCCAGGGCCAGTGCTAGACTATTTTGCACCCTAGGCAAGACCAGCTACCCCCCCCCCTCAAAATAAATAAATAAATAAATGAATGAACACACATTTTTTAAAAACAGTACAAAATATTAAGGCAACAAAACATTAAATTGCTAATTTTCTTTTAATGTGTGAAAATAAGTGCCATAAGATGCCATCAGCACCAATATTAACCACTTGCCTACCAGGCACTTATACCCCCTTATTTACCAGGCCAATTTTCAGCTTTCAGCGCTGCCGCACTTTGATTGACAATTGCGCGGTCATGCAACATTGTACCCATATGAAATTTTGATCATTTTTTCTCACAAATAGAGCTTTCTTTTGGTGGTATATAATCGCCACTGGGTGCTTTACTTTTTGCGCTATAAATAAAAAAGTGCAAAAAATTTGAAAAAAAAAAAAAAGTTTCTTTGTTTCTATTATAAAATTTTTCAAACAGGCATTTTTTTCTCCTTCACTGATGTGCATTGATGAGGCAGCACTGATGAGCACTGATAGGTGGCACTGGTGGCACTGATGGGCACTGATAGGCAGCACTAAAGGGCACTGATAGGCAGTACTAATGAGGTGTCACGGATAGGCGGCACTGATAGACAGCACTAATGAGGTGGCACGGATAGGCGGCACTAATATGCAGCACTGATAGGCGGCACTGATAGGTGACACTGATGATGGGTACTGATAGACGGCACTGACTGGCATCACTGCTGGGCACTGACTGGCGGCACTGACTGGCACAACCCCTGGGCACTGACTGGTGGCACTGACTGGCAGCACTGCTGGGCTGCACTGGTGGGTGGCACTGGTGGGCAGCACTGGTGGGTGGGCACAGGTGGGTGGCACTGGTGGGCACAGGTGGGTGGGCACAGGTGGGTGGCACTGCTGGGCACAGGTAGGTGGCACTTCTGGGCACAGGTGTGTGACACTGCAGAGTGGCACAGGTGGGTGCACTGCTGGGCACAGGTGGGTGATCTGCTGGGCACAGGTGGGCGGAGCTAATGGGCGCATTGCTGGGCACAGAGGTGGGCGGAACTTGTGGGTGGCACTGCTGGGCACCGATCATCAGGGCACTGATCATCAGTGCCCTGATGATCGGTGCCGAACCCCGCTCTGACAACTGCCGGTTCTCGGCAGTACTTTCCTCACGATCTGACAGCGTGAGGAAAGTGCAGCCGAGAACCGGCACTTGCATTTCCCTCTGATCAGCGTGTCATTGGACACCGCTGATCACGTGGTAAAAGGCCGCTGTGATTGGCCTTTTACCACATCACGTAATCAGCTGTGTCCGTAGGACACAGCGATCACGGAGATCGCCGGGTGCGCGCCCCCTGGGCGCGCAGGAGAGCGCGTTCTGGGAGGACGTCATATGACGTCCACTCAGAACTGGCCGGCCGCAGTGCAGCCGTCATTTGGCTATCTGCGGTCGGCAGGTAGTTAAAGACAAAATCAGTGTCACGGATGGACTGTATCTGTGGCTAGCAGTGGCAGGGTGACAGTTGTAGTGAGTGGAGCATGATGGATCCACACTCTAACATATCCCAGGCTGGAATTCCCTAGGCAATGGGGGGAGATTAAACGCTGTGACAACAGGAAGCCCAGCCCACACACACAGAGAGTACACCTGAACTGAGTGAGTGATCCCACACAGTGACAGATCCGACACACCACCACCAACACTGACACAGATCAGCAGGCAATAGAAGAGCAGGCTTTGGGACTGTGATGATGTCATCACTCACTGCCACATTGCACATATCATGGATGGATGGCCCACTGGGTCACACTCACACAGACATGAGACATCAGAGTTAGATGCTACAATCCTCCTCAGGTGCAGCTCTGCCTCCACTGATGAATGGGAAGAGAGGGGCTGGAACATCACAGTGATCAGCAGGCGCCAGTCGGCTTGCAGTAGAGGACTGCATCTAAGAGGAACACGGGAAGGAGCGGAAGCTCAGCTGCTATATTGGCCCCAGCACACGGCATCTTCCTCTGTCCTTCTTCCTCCTCTCTGTTATCCCTCCTCTCAGCTGTAGAATCATTCATGAGATGGTAGCATCACACACAGAGAGGGTGCCAGCCTGTGCTGCACCTAGGCACCCTTAGGTGGCAGTGTGCCCTAGGCAGCTGCCTAGTTTGCCTAGTGGATGCATCGGCCCTGGATGTACCTTATAAAGTGGCTGATGAGTGCATATAGTGCTAAGAAAAATTCCCAAGTAGGTGCCCCCCCCCCCCATCCACATTCCCTATTGTACAGGAACAAACACTCTGGCTTGTTCAAATCCAGCACACATGCAGTGCAGACTCCTTTTGTCACACTACACTGAACTCAGCCACTGCTGTGACAGAAGAAGAATGCACTGCACATGTGACACGCCAGAGAGTTTGTTCCTGAAAAGCTAGGGTCTGGTGCATCCTGCCATCTAGGCAAGATGCGGGGAAATCGCCTACTTTCAGACAGGCTTGAGAGAAGCTGCACAGGGTCTACAGGTATGATATTGAAAAGAAGTTTATTTTTCAAAACCAGAACAGTGTTTTTAATGTACTGGGGATGTTGCTTAGGCAATTTTATTGTAAAGACGAACTAACATTTATAGGTAAAGTTGATCCAGGGAATATCTGATTGCCTCTCCGGGGATCAGGAAGGAATTTTTTTCCCTGCAGGAGCAAATGTTATCATGCTTTGCTGGGTTTTTTGCCTTCCTCTGGATCAACTGTGGGTATAGGATTTTTTTTTTTTTTAATGGTTGAACTGGATGGACTTTTGTCTGTTTTCAGCCAGACTAACTATGTAGCTATGTAACTATGTAACTAACCCTATAGCCAAGTCCTCAGACCCAGTCTAAAGGGTCTGTTTCCTTCTTGTCCACTTTTAGCCAATCATACAGGGCTTTGCGTTTTTTACAAATCCTTCAATAAAGTCTTTACACAAACCAACAACCAACCAAACCAGCAAGAGTGCAAAATCCAGTGCAGCTCTGCATAGAAACCAATCGGCTGCCAGGTTTTATTGCTAAAGCTTCATTGTCACAAGCTGAAAGTTAGAAGGTGATTGGCTACCATGCAAAGCTGCACCAGATTCTGAGTGCTCTACTTCTAGTAAATCTCCCCCAAGTGTTTTTTTGTGCTTGGCCTGGGAAGTTTAGCTTTATGATTTAAAAATAATTTGTCTTTATTATGTTTAAGAGTTTTTTCACACTGCTTTGTTGAAAAAAATGCAAAAAAGAACACATATGTGTTCTTGATGCATTTCTGGTGCATTTTCTGTACCTCCCAGCATGCACCTGTGAAACATGGACATGTGACTAAAAAAATGCATAAAAAATGTAATCTTGATGTGCTTTTTTTGTGTTCTAATAATTGCAATAGGGAGCTGCATTTTTGGTGCAGTTTTGAAAAACACACCAAAGATGCAGCATGCAGGACTTTTCAAAATGCACTGCACTTGCAGTGTTGTGAAGAGTCGACTTTGAAAAAGGTTCCTGCACTATTTTTGAGCGACTTCATTGCAACATCTCTTAACCCCCAGTTCATATATATGCGGCCGTGAGGGCCCCAGTTTGCGCGGACACGAGAGCCCATTCATTTGAATGGACTGCTGTGCCCCATGACACACAGGGAAGAAGTCCCTGCACTTCTTCTGAAAACGCTGCCCGCACGGGAACCTTGTTTCTAAGTACGGTTGCGTTTTCCAGTGCGGAAAGTTATAGCGTCTACAAATGGCGGTATAGATATTGTAATTTTTATTTTCGTAATTTTTTTTACTAGTAATGGCGATGATCAGCGACTTATTGCGGGGCTGTTGGTCTGCGGCGGGCATTCTGACACTGGGGGGAACTCACTAACTGCCACTGACATCCCCAGTGACACTAATACAGTGATCAGTGCTAATAAAAAGTACTGTCACTGTACTAATGACACTGAGCAGGAAGGAGTTAACATCTGGGGCGATCACATGGTTACCTGTGTGCTGTGTGTTTTACTATATAGACAAGCTGCTTTGTACTGCTCTGATGTGCAGAGCAATACAAAACAGCCTGTTCGTGCTGACAGGGGAGAGATCTGTGTGGTTTACATACAGACCTCTCCCCTGTCAGCTCTGCAGACGATCATCGAGTCCAGGCTGAGAATCGGCGGCCAGGACCCGGTGATAGACATGCCGAGGAGCCAATAGCAGCATGGGTAGGGAGCGCGCACGCGCGCCCCCTATCCAGAAATGCAAAATCACATATATATATATATATATATATACGTGATTTTGCATATATATACACGGAACTTGCTGCCCTGTAGCAATACGTCTGCTATATTGTGGTCAGGAAGCCAGTAAAGTTGCAGGAAGCTGCACTGGTGTGAACCTGGGCTAAAGCTGAAGTTTAATATATTTTATTTTTGGGATACAGCACCTAACGCATTGGTTATGTGTAATGGTGTGTATCCCATGACCTGCAGGCAGTTGCTTCTGCTAAAAACCATCCCTGCAGTATCTTCTTCACAGCTGCCAGATACTGCTTTAGCCCTGGTTCACATATATGTGGCCGTGCAGGCCGTGTTTTGCGCAGGCACTAGAGCCAATTCATTTGAATGGACTCCTGTGCCCTGTGACACACAGGGAAGAAGTCCCTGCACTTCTTCTGAAAATGCAGCCCGCACAGGAACCTCACTTCCCAGTACGGTTGCGTTTTCCAGTGCGGGCGGCGTGCTATTAGAATTAATGGCACCCGCCCGCAGGTCCGCATTTCTCTGTGCGGGTGGTGTGGCTGTACAGATTTTCGTGCAGATCCTCAGCGGCACCACCCGCACAGGTGTGAACCTAGCCTTAAGCAGATATCTTTCAGCACTCTGAAGGTTAACAGCAGCAGCTACTACTGAGAAAAGTTGTGCTGCTTCCCTGCCATTCACAAAACCTGTATTACTACACTCCCACAATGCATTGCGTTCTGTGAATGGATGAGGAGCCTTTGAATGACAGGCACTTCTCTGCTGCATTGTGGGAATGTAGATATACAAGTTCTGAGAATGGTGGAGAGGGCAGAAAGGGGCAGCCAATCGGTAGAAGTCTTCTCTGTATCCTGCTGTTAACCTTTACAGTGCTGGAAGGCAGTTGTTCAGTTCAGCAGACATGGCAGGGGGGGACTTTTAGCAGAATCAGCCCTCTGCAGGTAATAGGACACACCATTACACATAGTACCTAAAAAAAAGAAGATATAAACTATGCTTTTGGCTTTTACGTGAAAATGATTTTGTTTAGTGTCCGTTTTAGTGCCTACATAAATGAAAGGATCATCTATGGACTCTTGTTGACTTTAGCAGGCACCGGAGACGATTATTTCCATGATAAAAGCTAAATGTTGAGTTTGGATTTATATACAGTATTTTGCAGAAGGCATTGTTTCTCTGACATGTCACCTACTGTTGTGACTGTTCAGTTACAGATATACATTCTCGTGTGATCCAAGAACCAATGTCAATGTAATCATTTCTGGAAAGAATAAAAACATTGTTCCATGGTGTGATTGTGCATGATGACTGCTGTCTGTTACCTATATGCAGCTTAACCCGAATCTTTCACTTTTGAAGCATGATCACAAACCAAAACATTGCAAATCGGTTTTCTTTTATTTGGTCTGTTTTCTAAATAATCTGTAGAGGCATTTGAGCGGTTTCAGCTGATTTTATTTTAAATTTTATCACCTCTAAAAATGATGCAAAAAAAGTTGCAGCTGTTGGCGCTCTGAATACTGTTCTCTGCATAGACTCTCTGCTTGTGGACTCACCCAGAGCACATTAGGGGTTGATTTACTAAAGCTGTAATGGGCAAAATCTGGTGCATGCAAACCAATCAGCTTCCAGGTATTATTGCCAAAGCTTAATTGAACAAAGTGAAGTTAGGAACCGATTGGTTACCATGCACAGCTGCACCATAGATGGGCCGATTTTTGAACGATTTTTCGTTCGAAAATTGGACCTAAGAATAATCGTCTGATTTTCGCTCTGTTAGTGGGGCAATGGTACCGTCCGATTTTTGTGGTTCCTCCCATTTCGTTTATCGGGCATGCTGGAAAATTCGTGAAAAACGACCGATTTTTTAAATCATTGGAGGCACCATAGGATTACAGAACGGACAATGTTTTCGATTTTCGATTGAAAAATAGTTCGGAATTTGATCCATGTATGGCCTGCTTAAGAGTGCTCCAGCTTTAGTAAATCTCCCCCTTTGTGTACTACTATTTGCCTAGCAACAAAAAAAAAAAAAATAAAAAAAAAAATGCAGGAGCAAAAATGTAAAACGCAATGCAGAAACGGCTCAAACGCAACCTGCACAGGTGTGAACCTAGCCTAAGTGAACTGATACAAGCAAAAGTGTTCTTCTGTGTGGAGCAGTTTTCCACAGGCAAACAGGGCAATGCACAGATGAAATTCATATATTGGCCCTGTTTTACCTGCCAAAGTGTTCATCCAGTTCTGAAATTTACAGACACCCCTGTCTGGTAGGGCAGAAGAACTGAGTTTTCACTGCTGCACTTACATAATATATATATATATATATATATATATATATATATATATAGTCCCTCCCCGGCTGGTGACTAGACAATGAAAGCAGAAACAGCAGAGTAATGAGCTTATTTCTGTGACTCAACTCTCTTCTCCTATCAGCATGGCCCTTGACAATGCTGTAAAACTATTTATTGTACTGCTTCTCCCTGTCCCAGTCTGAGCTTTTCTGTAGAGGGATTGCAAAAGTTCCATTTTATTTGAAACAGTATATTTTTTTGGAAGACTCCCCTTTCTTTTGACACGTCCCAGCAGGCTACAGGACCATTCACAAAGTGTGCATGCGCAGTGGAAAGCTGGCTGTGAAGCCACAAGGAATCACAGCGAGATTCTCACAGTAAACATTCTGGCACGGGGGACAGTGCTTGATTTCAGGTAAGTGTCCTTTTATTAAGGCTAGATTCACATCTGGGCGGGTATCATTAGTTCTAATAGTATGCCGCCCGCACTGGAATACGCGACCGTACTGGGAACTGAGGTTCCTGTGCGGGCTGCGTTTTCAGAAGAAGTGCAGGGACTTCTTCCCTGCATGTCATGGGGCACAGCAGTCCATTCAAATGAATGGGTTCTCGTGCGTGCACAAAACGTGGCCCGCACGGCCGCATATATGTGAACCAGGGCTTAGGCCTCATGCACACAGGACCTTAATAAAAAAACTCTTCTAGAAGCTTTTCTCCTGGCAGCAGCGCTTTTGCCAAAAAACACCTGATGTTTGTAAAAGTATCTAACACTTTTACAAGCGTGTAGGCGCATTTACAAACGTCAAGAGCTTGGGTGTTAATTAATTTAATTGGCCAGAATTATATTGTATTCTGTCCACTGAAATGAAATAATGCTCAAGCACTAAACGTGCCTAGCATTACCATGCAGTTAGACGTGTTTAGACGCGTCAAACGTTTTTTCTGCCAAAACGTTGCTGCTCCTGCATGCACTGGACCTGAGATTTTTTCCTGCCTGTAAGCACTCCTTCCACTAACTGCTCATTCACACTGGAATGCAGTGCCGGTGAGCCGCGTTCCCATGCAGCATCCTGCACTGCATTCCGATCGCAATGCCCTTGTGATCTGCTGCAGGGGTCAATTAAAGTTAACGGCACCCTGAAACGCAGGTCGCAAACGCATTGTGTTTGCCCGCAACGGCCTGCACCAAACCACATGGTACAAAGTACCATTCGATGTGGTTGCAGTGCGTTTAAAATAACTAGTGAATGCACTACTTTTGGCGCAGTGCAGTGCAATTTCATACCATTCAAATGGATGGGCATGCAATTGCACTGCATAGACCTGCATATGAAGTGCACAGGAATGCACAGATCGTTCCTATGCGATTCCCATTAGGGCACAGTGTGAACTGGCTCTAAAAGCCCCCAAACGTCTGCATGGGCACATTGGATAACATGGAGGGCCGTTTAAAAACAGTAAAAAAGCAAAGCCTGATGCCCCTAAAAGTCATTGCAAAAACACCCTAGGGTTAATTTATAAAGGCAAATAGGCTGTGCACTGCAAGAGCACTTTCTCTAGAATTGGGGAGAACATGCAAGGAAAATAAAAAACAGCATTTTATCTTGCACATGATTGGATGATAGAAATCAGCAGAGCTTCCCTTAATTTCAGAGCTTCCCCTCAAACGTAGAGCAATTGCATTTTAAGTGCACTTGGAGTGCACAGTCTATTAGCCTTTAGTAAATCAACCCCCCTGTGTGCATGGGGCCCAAAAGTCAGCAGCTACAGTAGCTGCACTCTTGTGATCCCCAGGAGTATAGTCAAAAGTGCTTTGGCTATACTTCTCCTTTACCCCCTGTTCACACTGAATACGACTTTGAAATTGTGCAACATTACTTGAAGTTGCATGATTTCAAAGTTGCGTTAGTGCGACTTCAGGTGCAACTTGTAAGACATCTGTGCAACTTCATGCAAGTTGTACCTGAAAACCTTTAAAAAAAAAATAGCGCAGGAACATTTTTTTCTCCGCAAAATCGGGAGTCACCCCGATATGAACGATTCCATTGCCGACAATAACGTGCGACTTGTCATGCAACTTGAAACTCAAAATTGTATAACTCGCATCGGTGTGAATGGGGGCTTAAGCTGGCCATTCCCCTACTAAAGCTGTGAGATGGCTTTGCCTGATTTTCCAGTTACTATTACTTTTAGGCTTGCTTCACATTTTAAAATCGCATGGTTTGTTTGCGATTTCACTGCGTTTTCTGAAGATTTCCCAATGATTTCTTGCATTTCTATTGTGTTTTGCAGTGCGATTTCTATTGTAGTCTATATGTGAAATTGCAACAAACTGCAGAAAGAGTAATGCAAAAGTTACTTTTGAAATCGCGCTGCAGCAAATTGCGTATGTTAAGACATCCACATTCACATTCATCAGATCCGATTTCAGGTTCGATTTCAATTCCCAGATGGCACCTAAATCACAGCAGTGTGAACCAGCCCTTCAGAAATAGTTTAGGATGTCCCTAATTATTTTCTCCTTGTATTAATCCTCTTGAGTGTCATATACTGTATATTAGTGACAGTAGCTTCGTGTTGCCTAGATTGCCTGCATTACGGAATGAAAAGCTCCACACTAAAAGATATGATGAAATATACACACTACTAGCTGAAAGTGGATGCTGGATAAACACTAGTCCATTTTGCCACATGCACATTCCTCCATTCTCTGCCCTTTGTGTTGGTTTCTGGCACCAAGTGTGTTTGCTTACACCACACAGAGACTTTCAATCTGCCACACAATACTCTGTTTGTATCCAGATGCAACACTGACAATGCTGGTGAATGTTAAATACTTTGTAAAGCCTCAGCTCCTAATGCGGGTGTGTGCAGTTTGTAGTATTACATGAATCCAATGTTTGATATACAGGAAAAGTGACAGTGACAATGAGTGTGCGTGTTTAAAAGCAATAAATCCTAGTCTTAGTGAATCGGGAGGGTTACCATGCTCTGCTGAATACAAGCAGCACAAATGGTATTGTTCTTCACACATCATTGGGAAGTTATCTCTGATTCAGCTGAGCTGGAAATAAGTATACTGTAATAGGGTCAGTCCACCCATAACTGAATGTTAGATTTTCATACATGCTGGAGAGCGTGGCACCCAAGAAACGTATTAGTGAACTTTCATTGCCCGAGTTCCAACATGCCTGCTGTGGTCATTGTGAGAAGCCTAATGCTGGCTGTACATTTATTTTTATTTATGGTACTTTTATAGCGCTGTCAATGTCAAAATCAAGAACAGGAACAAAGGAATGTATTTGCTAACTCTGCAGGAGCAGCTCAAGTGGACCAGAGACTTACCTGAGTCTTCTATCGATCCAGCAATGTGCCAGCTGCAGATCTTCTCTCCCCTTTTCCTGATCTCACAGGCTTCACTGAGAGCAGTGGGAGCCATCGGTTCTGGATGCTGTCAGTCATATCCTGTGAGGAGGAAGCAAGGGGTGTGACAAAGCTTTGCGTGTCTATGGCCACACACAGCCTGGCTAGCCCTCTGAGGACCAAGGGACATATTTGTCCCATGTTTTTATTTGCCTGTATCATCTGATTAAGAACTTAAAATACTTTTTTTTTTTTTGGTTTGAGTCAAAATATTAGCTCTTATCAACAAATGGATCTAGCTTTTTGCCAATTATTTCATGAAATGGCTTAGTTACAGCAACTGAAGTGTACGAACTTTAAAAACAAAACATTGATTCTTTTGGCGTTCCAAAATCTTACGGTCCTCAAAGGGCTAGAGAGTGTGCCTGCACGGGTGCCCCCCTCAGCACACTGCTTTCTGAGGGGCACTCAGAGAAAAAGCAGCAGAGAACTCAGTTGCAGTACCACTGTTTTATTAATTGTCCAAACATATTGATAGTGTGTAGGTTTATTTATTTATTTTAGGCACTTATAATTTAACGCTGTCAATTTACACAGCGCTTTACATATATATTGTACATTCACATCAGTCCCTCACCCTCAAGGAGTGTACAATCTAAGGTCCCTAACACTTTACATATATATTGTGCATTCACATCAGTCCCTCACCCTCAAGGGGGGTACAATCTAAGGTCCCTAACACTTTACATATATATTGTACATTCACATCAGTCCCTAACCCTCAAGGGGTGTACAATCTAAGGTCCCTAACACTTTACATATATATTGTACATTAACATCAGTCCCTAACCCTCAAGGAGCATACAATCTAAGGTCCCTAACACTTTACATATATATTGTGCATTCACATCAGTCCCTAACCCTCAAGGGGCGTACAATCTAAGGTCCCTAACACATTACATATATATTGTACATTCACATCAGTCCCTAACCCTCAAGGGGCGTACAATCTAAGGTCCCTAACACTTTACATATATATTGTACATTCACATCAGTCCCTCACCCTCAAGGGGCATACAATCTAAGGTCCCTAACACTTTACATATATATTGTACATTCACATCAGTCCCTCACCCTCAAGGGGCATACAATCTAAGGTCCCTAACACTTTACATATATATTGTACATTCACATCAGTCCCCTCACCCTCAAGGAGTGTACAATCTAAGGTCCCTAACACTTTACATATATATTGTACATTCACATCAGTCCCTCAGTCCCTCACCCTCAAGGAGTGTACAATCTAAGGTCCCTAACACTTTACATATATATTGTACATTCACATCAGTCCCTCACCCTCAAGGAGTGTACAATCTAAGGTCCCTAACACTTTACATATATATTGTACATTCACATCAGTCCCTAACCCTCAAGGAGTGTACAATCTAAGGTCCCTAACACTTTTTACATATATATTGTACATTCACATCAGTCCCTCACCCTCAAGGGGTGTACAATCTAAGGTCCCTAACACTTTACATATATATTGTACATTCACATCAGTCCCTAACCCTCAAGGAGCATACAATCTAAGGTCCCTAACACTTTACATATATATTATACATTCGCATCAGTCCCTAACCCTCAAGGGGTGTACAATCTAAGGTCCCTAACACTTTACATATATATTGTACATTCACATCAGTCCCTAACCCTCAAGGAGTGTACAATCTAAGGTCCCTAACTTACATTCATACATACACATACTAGGGACAATTTAGACAGGATCTAATTACCTACCAGCATGTCTTTGGAGTGTGGGAAGAAACTGGAGTACCTGGAGGAAACCCACACAGGCACAGAGAGAACATGCAAACTCCAGGCAGGTAGTGCCATGGTTGGGATTTGAACCAACGACCAGAGTACTGCCAGGGGGAAGTGCTAACTTTTTAGCCACTGCTGTTAATATTTATATTAATGTATAGTAGATAACTGTGTACATGGCACCTACAATCCGCCTTCATAGTTGTCCTTCAGTGGCTGGGTCATGCCTGCATATTTAACCGTCATCTGACATACACGACCAGCTTAAAGTGTATACAAACTTTAACAGTTTTTCTTATGTGCTCCCTTTTGGTCTGTTAAAGTGGTAGTAAACTCTGCTTGGTGACGTGTACCTACAGGTGAGCTTATAATAAATCTTACCTGTAGGTACAAGGAATATCTCCTAAACGTGCACCATTTAGTAGATATTGTATATTTCTGCAGCCGGTGACGTCACCCCAGCACATGTGCTCTAAGCTCTA